GCTTAATCAGATTCTCGCAAACATTCACTTTTTCGCACAACACCGGCAGCTAAAGGGAGCTAGCTTGCGCAGTAGCGATGCGCCGTCAGCAGATTTATTTACCTGCAGTAAAAACTCTGCTGCTCGCGTTTCAGCGGCTTGTCAATTAGCATGATTTGAATAACCTGTCTGAAACAATCACTCCTGATTTGTTTTAATTGAATACCCGTGGCAAGGAGGAGAGCAGAAGACCGAAAGGTGATGTATTGTCGTCGTTTGTTGATATCAGTTCATCATAATCTAGTTCAGCTGGTTATCGCTATGACCATCTTCGAATGGATACTGAAATGTGAGCGACAGTCCAGTCTAATAACTTTAGTTAGTTTTGTTGAAAATATTTGCCATGCGCTTTTTACTTTAGAAGAGGGATGCTTATTTAATATAAAGGTATATATTGAAAAACTTCCCATGGATTGTTTTTCGTTGTTTCTTTTTCGGTCAATTATTAACTTCCCCATTCCCTATTCAGACAAATGGGACATCATAATCTGAGCGTTTATTTAGAAATAAAGGAAACGACCAGGTGATGTTTATAATTGCAATTAATGTAAGTTGTTTATTTCATGGGTTGTTATTTACATTGAAAGGCTTAATGTATATAATTATCCAGTTTAACTTGTCGTACTTAAAGGCAAAACCCAGGACTTCGACCCTAGTTCACCTGAGTTTGACAGTTTGAGCCCATTATTGAGCCAGTAACTCAAATTGTGCAAACCAGGAATTAGGTTGTGAACTGCCGTGAACATAAGATTTCAAATAAGAGAGAAGCACCATTTTAAGATTTCCATGATCACAAACTATATTCCCATGATTAATGCTCCAAAAGGGGCCTTACTGCAACACTTCCAATGATCGCTGCAAGCTCAATAGCAAAGAACAGTAAAAATTAATAATTGTAATGAGGTTTTGTCATTTGGACACATTTTCTAAATGTGGACTTGTTTTCAAACTGCATGTCTACTCATTACTGTTGCAGATGGAAGAGTTTGAGAGCAGTCCTCTTGGGCGGGTAACGGTGTATTCCATCCAAGGCTGCCCGCACTGTGTGCAGGCTAAGGCCACCCTCAGGCAGCTGGGAGTGCCACTCTGTGATGTGGATATCGGCGTTCATTCAGAGCTGCGTGCGAAGCTGAAGGAGCTGACCGGGCGCAGCACCGTACCTCAGATCTTCTTCAACGGCGTTCATATTGGCGGTAACGATGACCTGCAGAAACTGGTGAGAGGGACGGGGGGACAAACTCCTACTGATAGCAAATGCTTTTAGTCAAAGAGCTGAGCAAATGTTTTACACAGCTTGCTGATGGGTTTTACAATCTCAGGCTCCCAGTGAACTCCAGAGGCTTGTGACTTTGGTCAAAGAGGAGCCTCTTCCAGCAGATGCTCCCCCGTTACCGGAGAAGTCATCACAGGATGAGCCAGTGGAAAACGATGAAGGTCAGCTATTTAGAATAAACATTTTTTTTTAAATCCTTACTTTTTTAAGTTCACAAACATCTACTAAACTGAAGCAGTTCAACTGGAACAAATATCGTTTGGAATTAAACTTGTCTTAGATCCACACCTCACATAGGGTTGAAATCATCATGTAACACTTTTGTCATTTTTAAGGTGAAGAAATTGTTTAGAAATGAGATCTGTGTCAGCCTTGTTCAATTTCCTCTGAAAAAGGTTTGGAAATGGTGAAATGACACACTAAAGGGGAAGCATTCTTTGGGTAAGATCACTGACGGAAAAATACAAAAATCTGAGCAGGGCTGGTTTTGCACAGTCATCTTTGTTTGAGGGGGTGCCAATAACAGTGAGTGGTTATGAAATAGTGCTGGCTGATGTGGACATTTCTGGTATGTTTAGCAAAATGTGTGAATGTGTGTGTGTGCCTATGAGTCTATGCTTATCTCCTGTGGCGAAGGCTAACACAGACAGTTGATACAGGAACGTGATACTCTGGATGAGCCCAGCACCAGCAGATAGCCCACAGGACCTCATTATCTGTTATTATTAAGCACTCTACAGTGCAAACAGTCTTTTCACCAGGACTCATGCACAGATGTTTGTGGGAACATTTTTTATTTGAATCTAGTGTTATCCCAATGTAATTCCTCCGGTATTATTACATGGTTATAAAAGCAGTGCGCGGGGTTGTAATGTATCTTAGAGTTTGAGCTATTTGCTCAATTGAGGCTGTTTTTCTATACACAGATAATTTTACAGTGGAGTTTTTTTTTTTTACCATTTCTGTATGCTGTAAATTCTGTAATGATGCATTTTCTCAATTCAGTGGAGAAAACACAAGAATCAAAAAATCTTATGATCCATCCATATTTTTATGAATAGAACATCTTACGATGTTTATCTCAGCACAGACAGAATATATATGGCAGCTGTTAGCTGGAGTTGACAGGTGTTAGCTTGTTTTGGGTTTATTGAATCATTTACTGGTTCTTTCTTTTATTTGTATTTCTGTGTGTTTATTCATGATTTGGAATGACTCCTACCCATGCAGAGTTTAAATGTGAGAGAGATGAGTTGGCAGACCTGGTAGAGGACCTCAAGCATGGCGGTGTGATTGGCAGTCATAGGAGAGGGCTCACTTTGTACAAAAAGAGCTTCTCAGGCGCTCAGCTGGTTGACTGGCTGCAAAAGGAGAAGGGCATGGGTAAGTAGGGCTATGGCACCTCTGTGTGTGAATCGTGATAGCTTACTGGGCTGACGACAGTCCATGTGACACATAGTCGAATCCAGTGGCGTCCGCTGTTGACTGTGGCCATGTGTGTGCTAGCCACGGCTGAGGCCTGTAATACAGGTCAGGCATTGTTGCAGAAGAAGTACATGGTCAGTGTGCGTGGCTGTGGGCAGAAGGTTGGCGGTTTTGGCGAGGGAAAAGACACCATGGATTCACTGTTCAGGCTGCTGGAGGACGACCCTCATTCAGCCCTCAACTCAGGACAGACTGCAGCCTGCAGTCCCATACGGGGTAGGTCAGGAGTGGAGCAAACACTCATCAGCTTCCAGGTTCACGCTGAGCCGTGTCCTTCAGCATTCTAATCCCCGTTCTCTCACGGCTGCTTGCTTGGCTCATGTTACTTTTGGGTTCATTTGGGTTTGTGTATTGGGTCACAGAAATTTGGGATGTTACAGGCTGAAGCATGGTCAAGAGTACAACTCATAGTCTGATCTTAGAACTTAAGAAGTTAGCTTTTGTACATTTAATGTCAGACGCTCAACATATTAGCTATTAGTAATTACAGAGTTTAAATAAAAAAGGTTACATCTTTAAAGCCATGCCTCAAACCCTTGCTCAGCTTTGCTGCAGGTTTGGTGTGTTTTGACCTATTGTGACTTGTATTTTTTAAATTTCCTCTCTATTATAATTTTTTTGGTGACCATAAGATCTGTCTTTGTGATGCATGTTTGCTGCTGGGGTGCTACTTTAAGCTAACTCACACTATTTCCAGCTGTACAACACTGAAGAAACTGTAATCGCGGGGTTAATGTTGGTCTTTTCTGCTTATTCTTTTCTAATTATGAGCTGATTTCTCCTCCAACAAAGTTAACCTGGTCCAGATAGCTTTATGGATGTCATTTCAATGGGATTAATTTTCTGAAGCTACTTTAAGGATCTACTTAACCTTTCTGTTATACAGCTCTGTAAATATCTTCATATGTTGTCCCAGTTTAGTGAAAACTCTGGTCAACTTGGGAATGACCTGCTGTTTTTCCACATGGAATGTGATGTTTAACAAATAGATCATTTAGGACTCTTTTACAATGCCTTAGTTTACTTGTTTTTCAGGCTAAAAGTAATCAGTGACTCATCTCTGAGCTCTGAAAGTCTCAGCTAAAAGTTAAGGCCCATGTAACTTTAATGCTGTCGTTCTCTGTCTCTCCATCAGCCTCTGAGCTCTCTCTGCTTCTACGAGAGATGATTCTGAAATTGTTCTCAGAACATCTGTCTGCTGACGGCAAGGTAATGTCCTCAGAGATTCACTGGTTCACTGTGGGTTTCACCAATGTTTGTGACTCTTCTGTAACTACATACATGTAAAAGAACTTGCTCCATGCAGTGTTTTCAGTTCCACGGAGCTGTTTGTGTTCACAAGTAGCATTAGTTGTGTAAACCAAGTGAATGGCCGGTGTCTTTTTCATTCGTAAAGCTTTTTACCACTTCTGTTCAAAATGCATGGGAGATAAACTGAGTGCTGTTCTTGCTCCTGCAGTCTGTGGACTACAAGGGTATGTCTGCAGACCCTGTTTTTGAGCGTTACTGTGAGCTAGCCATTCAGCTGCAGAGGGTGGAGCTGCTGTCCCTGAGCCGGGAGGAGAAACTGGCCTTCTTCATCAACATCTACAATGCCTTAGTCATCCATGGGTACCTCCGCCTGGGGGCCCCCACCAACATGTGGCAGAGATACAGAGTAAGAAAGAGACACACTCGCAAAATGAAGCCAGGGATTCTGCCTGTAGCTTCTGGGCATTCACAAAATGTTTGGTTTGTGTGTGTTAATTATAGCTCCTTGTTGTTTACAACACTGTTATTACAAGATGATTAAATGGAGTTGTGATATATTTATTAGTGCATTTACAAGTATAAAAACATTGGAAAAATAAGATTTAAAGGACTTGTTTGTGTTTTGTTTTTTTTTCAGTTCTTCAATTATGTGAGCTACCTGATTGGAGGAGAGGTTTTCACGCTGCAGGACATTGAGAACGGGGTCCTCCGGGGGAACAGGAAGGGTGTGGCACAGCTGCTGAGGCCCTTCTCCAAAACCGACCCACGGCTTCAGGTGTCCGGACGTGCTTCCCAGCCTCTCACAGAGCGACTGAGTTCTGTAGAGTAAATACATGTCATCCTTACTTTTTGTTGTTTTCTCCACAAGGTGGCGCTTCCTGACGCTGAGCCCCTCATTCACTTTGCCTTGAACTGTGGTGCAAAGGGCTGCCCGCCTATCAAAACATACACCCCGCAGGTAAATGCATCACATTCCCGGTGTTGCCTCATTTCTAAAGCCTAATTGATCATAAATACAAGGGAAATAGCAGTTGGGGATCTAGATTAGCATGCATTGTACAACATGTAAAGTAAAATAGCTTGTGATTTACTGCCCTTCTACCCCACAGGATATTGACAGCCAGCTCCGCACAGCAGCTGAGGCCTTTCTGGAGAACGACGATGCCTGTGTGGTAGATTCTGGGAAAGGAGAAGTGCGACTCAGTCAGATATTCAAGTGGTACAAGGCTGACTTTGGAGGCACCGATGAGAATGTACTTGTGAATTTACAGAAACATATCGAATGAATATCTACCTGGGTCCATTTTTCTGAACTAGTGGGCACAAAAAAAACCCCTCTTTCCTGTCTTTTTTTTCCCCAGCTGCTGAAATGGGTGCTGGACCACATGAGTGACTCTCCAAAGAAGACAAGCCTGCAGGGCATCCTTTCTGCTGGGAAGACTAAAGTCAGCTTCCTCCCTTATGACTGGAGCTCCAACAGCTCCCACTGAGCCTGCTCTCTGCAGTTTCCTAACATCTGTCCACTGTCAACCCTTAAGGTTTTATTGAAAGCTCCCGCACCCCATTTTTGGATGTCATGCATACAATACGTTTAAAGGAGTCCATAGGAGGGCTTTGTGCTCCCCTGTGTGTGCAGCTCAGGAGTAATAGATTACCACTATGCTCCCAGTCCAGATCCACTCTGGTTGGGTTTTTCCTATGGCACAGTTAATTAAAGCAGATGCCGCCTTTACAAGCCATATCAATAAACTTACAAAACTCTTTTATGTGTAGCAGACTAAAGACTTTACACCAATACTGTCCATCATTTCAACAGAACTTACAGCCTGAAGAAGTCCTAGGCTTCATGATGCCTTTGAGGAAAAAGAAAGGGATCTCGTTCTTGTATTTGACACCTGAATTTAACATTGAATATTGGTTTTGTGTCCAAGATAAAATATGAATACACATATATGTATGTCTGTATATACATGAACCACTCAGCATGTGGCTGTAGAGCACTTTTGTAGAAATATTTTAAACTCTTCTTTGTCAGAGCATCTTTGATCCAGGTATATGTGCAGATAACTACTAGCAAGCTCTCTTTCTTTGGGCTTAGAAATTGAGTTCATTTTGTCTCACCCTCACAGCTGAAAGGCCTGTGATGAGGTACTATTTTTTTTTTTTTTAATGTTCCTGCCCTTTGAGGTAATTCTGTTGATCCCTTTTTTGAACTTGCATGCCTTTCCCGTCGAATTTCTTCCTTTATTTTTTATCCTGGTCTTCCATTATGAATTGGAGTAGTGCCGCTGCTGTGTTTTTTGGCACAGACATTTACAATCCTTACAGATTTGGAATGCACTCTGACACTTTGCATGGCTAATGCCATCTTTAAATACCATTGAGGCACATTCTTCTTCCTGTGTTTGCAGAGATAAATGTTCACTCTTGATCCGTGTGTGAATATTTAGTTACATGCTATTTATTCCAGCACGTCGGGTAAAATTGGAATATTATTCTGCAATTCTGCCAAAAAGTCTATATCAACTAATCATACAGCTGTTCTTTTTTATGTCGTTGTCAGACTGTTTTGTTTCCACACAAACAAAATTCACAGAACATGATTGAAAGGATGTGATTTTGTGTCATAGGATTTTTACCAAACCTTCAAAGCTTTAGCTTAATACCATGTTTAATTTCAGTGACAAGTTTTCCAGGCGGTTTTGTGTTATTCTGAGTGATTTTACATTCTCAGGTCAGTGAATACGAATATGTGTACCCAGGTTATTTAATGCTGCATGTTTTCCCGTCTTACAAATGTCTGCTTATTTTTCCCAATGTGTGTTGGTCTTTGTGAGACAGCATAATTGTATCATAAGTTTGAATATGTTTTCTTTCATGAGGCTAGAAGCCAGCACCAAAGCAACGGTTGCATGTGTCGGAGCATGGGCTAGTGGTCAGCCTGTAGCCGTAGGAGCTAGTTGTATGTAATGTTATATAGATCTACTGTTAAACCAGGGCCCTATTAGAAAGGGCAGTCATAGTTTAACTAACAGCTGGTTAATGTTGGACATCATTGTCTTTTCAATCCACTGGATTTTCTCCATGAGGTGACAAAGCACAACTTTGACTCTCTCTACACTCACCTTTTATTACATGGTTATTTTTGTTTGTAAGGTGAACAGAAAATGTCTGCATACATCAACATTCCTTGTCCTTATTTAGATAATTACCTCATGTATCAGGAAAATGTGATGCAATTTATATTTAATAAGTAGTTTTATGGCTCTCTTTTACTCAGTGAAGCAATATGTTGACCAGTAAATATGCAATGCTGAACTAAATGGACGTCTGCTCTCTCTTTTTATAGACGAGTTGTAGAGTATTTCCAAATTATGATTGTTTCCTTTTCCAACTCCGTGTCAGGTGCACAATTGAGTTAAGGTTTGGTTGAGTAATTTAATCGGTGCATTATTTCCTCCAGCTGAAGACTATTTGAGACATTTAGTTTGTGATCTCAATCTTTACGCCCACTCCACTTCACATATTTACATTAGGAAAATCTGAAAATAATGAGGTGTTTCTTTAACATTTGTTTATTCAAACAAGTTAAATGACTTTTTCTTTAAGAAAAATAGATGGGCAGCAGCCTGACCTTTACCAAAAACAGTCTATCAACATTTATACATATAAATAAGCAGGTTTGAGTGCAGTTTCATAAAAAAATCACAATAAAAAGTTTTAGTATATACAGAAACACCATCAAGAGAAATTCTACACAACCAGCTTTTAGGAGAATTGTCTGAATCAAGTTTCAGTTTTGGCACAAAAAAAAACAACGATCTGTGTGCTAGAGAGATAATTAGATGACATACACGCTTCACGCAGTTTGGTTAAGAATCCCCATGAATGAACACTAACCCTTGGAAGATTGATCCAGATCAATTTCAACATCAAAAAACATTTAAGAACACAACAACCAGGCATCGGTCGTTCGGAAGACTAAGTGTCAACATTATACACCGCAAACTGCCAACGACGCGCATAAAATCCATCACTGTGTTTCTGGCACCATTTTGGTGGAGGTGGGCCAAACCTGAAAGAGTGTCTGCCGGTAAAACCTTTATAAAAATAATAATAATAATACTGAGATGGACTTAATGCCAGTTAATTCATTCTCATATATTTTCTTAAATAAATAGTTTAGAAAATGTCACCAATTTTGAAATAAATAAAATCAGATTGATGCCACAACATTTGACACCACAATAATGACAAGAAATACTGTAATTATTAGTCAACATTATTGCTGTGAAAAGGTGGATTAATAACTAATTAGAGTTTTTGGCACAATTCCGTTGGTATTAGTATTCTAAACATCCATGAAGAAAGATAGTGGTAGAAGTGAGTAATGGTCGTAGCAGCTCGCCGTCTCCTTAAAGCAGACGAAGGGTACCAGTGGTTAATCATTTAAAGGGCTAGAAGTTCATTAGGGACTTTTTCAATCAACTTTCATCCTCTGAATCAAAGCCAAAGAGCGAGGAGCAGGTGTTCAGGGCCAGATGTTTCTGCAGCTCCTCGGGGCTGCTGAAGGACGAGAGGCATTTGTCGCATCGGTGTCTGATCTTCAGTTCGGGTGCCGCTGCCTGCTTCTCCTTCTCCGTGGTGGGGGGCTTCTTTTTCTTAGTGTTGTAGCAAGCAAATTTCTTAAGCGGAGGTGCAGCGGGGTCAGTGGACCTCCTTTTGCGCATCGAGAGCAGGGACTCGTCTAGATAAGTGGAGGGCGGCGGCCGGACGAAGGGCGCTTTGACGAAGGGGGCGTAGGAGGGATCTTCAGGCTTGAAGGTTTTGTGCTCGGTGATGTGTGGCTCTGCCATATTCTTCTGGAAACCCTCGGCCAGAGTGGACATGTCTTCCACGTCTCGGACATTGATGACGTCCCAGTCTTTGGGCGGTTTTTTGGCCTTCTTGTCGGGACTGCTTGCAGAGGCGGCGCAGGAGGCGGACATCAGCTCGCCGCTCTCTCTCGCCGGCTCCTCCAACCCGTTGCTGTCCGCTTTGTGCTCTTCGCTGGCCGTTTCTGCTGAACCGCTTTCTAATTTGGGTTGACTATTGTTTGAAGGCTGATCGAGGAGTTCATTTTCACTCTCTCTCTGCCCCTTTTTACTCTGCAGCCATATTTCCTCCACTTTCACCCTCTGCTTCCAGGGCGCCTCGGCGCTGGGCTGCACCTGCTTGGTGGGGCCCATCTCCAGCTCGTCCTTCTGCGGCGCCGGGATGTAGTGCCTCCACTCGTGGTCGTAGAGCCCTTGAAAGCTGGAGAAGAGCTTGTCACAGTTCGGGAATGGACACTGAGGTCTGAAAGGCTTGTGGGATATGATGTGGTCCTTCAGCTCCTGCTGCGTCAGGAAGCGCTGCGTGCATTCCAGGTGGAAGCAGAAGTGCGGTAGTGTGTCGTTGTGTAGCTTCATGTGGTCCTTGTAATGCTGGAGAAACTGGATCTGCCTGTTAGAGCAAAGAACAATGAGAAAACAGTTTCAATTGATAATAAAAACAGAAAAACTCAATGAAAAGTGGGAAAATGGGAAAAATGTATTTTGTTCTTACCTGAAGCAAAAGGTGCACTTGCGTTTGGTCCAAATAAAAGTCTTCTCCAGCACCTTCTCCTCATCGCTGTGGCATTTGATGGCGTGCTTTGTCAGGGTAGAGCTGATCCTCAGGAAAACTCGGTCACAGGAGTCGGACGGGCACAGGTGGTATCTGATGTCCACTCCGCAACCGTTTTCTCCTGCTAGCGTCTCCTTCCCCTCCTCCTCTTCCTCCGTGTTCATCACAGAGGAGTCCTTTATGGTCACCACGCCGTCTGCGATCACCACCTGCTCGTCCTTGAAGTTGAGCGGCTTCGCCGCATTTGCGTCGGGGTTTTTGGATTTTTTGTAAAGCGTGGAGGTCTTTTTCAGGAGCGTGCGCACGTTCCTGATGATGCGCTCTTCCCTCTTGAGGCTTGACACTTTAGCTCTCCCTTTGGCCTTCTGCTCCGGAGTTTCCTCTTCGGCAACAGAGGCCTGATTTTCGGGCGGTGGCCGGTGCTGAATGTCCAGCACATCCGTTACTCCGTTAGAGGCTGGAGTTGTTTCTGGGCATGGCTCCGGATCAGGGGGCTTCTGATTGCACATTTCGTCTATGTGCTCCAAAACATGCTTTTTTGCCAAGGGGAGCTGTTTGAAGCGCTTCATACAGAGGATGCATCGGAGTTTTCTGCTCTTCAGGTGTGAGAGCGCATGCCTCATTACATTTAGACCCTTGTAGTTCTTGTGGCAGAAGTTGCAGTGGAGTGTCAAATGGCCATATTGCTGACTGCGGCGCAGTCTGTCCTTCCAAGTTTTCTTGGTTTTTACCTTGAAATAAAAAAAGAAACAATCTTAAATATATGTTTAAAGATCCACAGAAAACATCAAGAATAAAAAACAAAGAAAAAGATTTGAACCACAGTGTAACTAACAGCATACACTAACATTTTAAAAACCTAACAAAATGGATGAATTTCTCTCCAGCATTTGAACAGGATGCAGGACCTATCTGAAAATCAGGAGCTGACATTTTCTTTAAAGAATTCTAGACCAAATTCATTCATCAATATATTTTTAATAGGTTTAAAACTTCCACTTTAATGTAATAGGTTTTTATTTTGGTTCTGCATCCTTTGCAGATGTTGCTCCAACAGTCCAAAAGTCAATATTTTTCTTTACTTTTCCTTACTTTTCAGTGAGAAGAAAAAAATCATTCAGTTTTTCTGTCTTTTAGTATGTAAAACAATACAACTTGTATACAGTACACCTATCAGAGTTAGTGTTTTTGAGTGGTTATGAAGATTCTTTCTTTCTTACAGGTCATTTTCAACAAAGCTGAAAACTCTAATTGTACCTTCCTTTTTATTGCATGTTTGCATTTTGATACCCAGCTAGAAAGTCGAGTAACAATTTCTGACCTGTGCTTTGGGGCCGTCTTCTTCCACTTGTGGCTGGGGCTCCTGCTCCGTGATGCCATTGGCCTCCTCAGACGGCTGAGATTCTGCAGACTGAGGCTTCTCAGCTTCAAGCTTTTTGGAATTAAGGGAATAATTGTGTAACATTTCTACTGGACAATCTATTAACTCCAACAATGGCCCATCAAGCTCAGAATCAGCTTCAGGGGTGGGGACATCTGCCCGGGGCTCACAGCATGGGCTTTCAAAAGACTGGCTCTCAACCCGTGTCTGAGATTCTTCTGGGTCTTTTTCCCTGCTACCATTAACTGAGTTCATATTTCCTTTTTCTGTTGCGGGTTCACTCAGATGCTCGAGTTTGCTGTCTTTTAGACACTTGTTTTTCATGCAAAGCATGTCCTGCTCCTTATTGTCTGTGTCCGTTTCTTTAATCAGAGTCTCTTCCTCTGTGAGGTATATTTCATTGTCCGGATAAGATAACTCCAGTTTGGATAAAGGCTTCCTTCCCCGTTTTTTCCCTTTAACTTTGACGATGACCTTTTTCTCTTTAGCCGTTGGCACCTGCTCCAGCCTTGGAAGACCTTGCAACCACCTCTTCTTGCGGCCTTTCCTTTTCAAAATTTGGCTCTTCACACATCGGGACAGGTATTCTCTTTTGCGGTTCAGAGGAAGCTTAACAGGAGCAGAATTCTCCATGTTAGTGTGATTGTGCCTTAGTGAATACACAGGCTTATTATTACCCGAGATGGCAGACTTGAAATTGTATTTGATCTCCGGATCATCAGCGATATCGCATTCATCGTCAGACACGGACTGCGATCTTTTTCTGATTCTTCTCCATTTTCTTCTGTTCAGAGGTCCGTTATTTGATTGGAGAAACTTTCTTTCTGCTTCAACAACAGGTTTCTTTTCTGGCAGGTCTTCTTTCGCAGTCGCCGTTTGAGTGCAGTGACAGGACTTAATACCCAGAATGCATGAACCATTTACACAGGTAGCTGCCAAAGGATCTGCACTGGATTCCTTTTCCTCTTCCTCCTTCATTTCACTAAGTACGGCATCCTTCATCACATTGTCGCTCATCAGCTCTAAACAGTGTGCCCTGAGGGTGAGAAAGTTCCAAAATTCCGGGTCAAAGCAAAGGCGATTCTTGAGCATCTGGAAAAAACAAACCCATTAAACACAACTGTTAGGACTCATAATGCGTTTGTAATAAAATGGCATACATTTACATGGAGCTAACACGCGTGTCCTCCTACCTGCAGAATATGGAAGCGCACGTTGGTCCGGACAGGGCTGTTGTGGGGGTGTGGCTCCTGATCGGGATGCATGTAGAGCAGGCACACGGTCCGGTACGCCTCCAGGCTCCGTTCCTGGCAAAAGACGAGCAGTGCGCACGCTCGACAGATCTCCAGGTCATGAGGCAGCAGGAAGGCGATGGTCTTGCAGACCAGTGACTGTGTGACGGTGTCGGCCTGCCTGTCACACAAATGCAGGGCCCTGGCACAGAGCTCCACGCACACCTGGACCCCTTCAGTACCAAGCTATTCAAAGGGGAAGACACAGAGAAATCAGCGAATACTAAAGTTAAAGTGTGAATATACAAATTTCCAAATCCAAACTGAAGGTTTTGCTCCAGACATGATTAGTGTTGAGTGATCAGTGTTTTTTTAAACATAATTTTTTTAAGTCAATGTGTTGCTGTATTACAGTGCATTTGTCCCCTGCTGCCAACAAATGAGCTTCAGATGATGCTGTGCCGGGGGGTCTCACCTCAGTGGTGACCAGTTTGACGAAGGGGAAGATGGCTCTGACATTAGTAGCAGAGGAGGCCAGCTGCAAGCACTCAGCCAGAAAGCCTTGTCGGGAGGGATGAGCCCTAAGATACAACCTGCTCCAGATGAAAACCAGGTCCCTGCAAGAGGGTAAAGACAGAAAACTCAGACAAACATCCATCAGGGGATCTCTTATTATCACACCAGTACCATCGAACCTTCACTTCACTAACAGTGATTAAAATGTTACTGAAAACCCACATTTACTATGTTCATGAGAATTTTAGTATTGTGAAATAAAATCAACTACATGTAACAAGTGCGTATCAATAAATAAATAAGCCCTGCACACATGAAAGTATCATCCTTACCAAATATAATACATGTCTCCGTTTTGCAGCTGCCGAGTGAGGAAAGCTTTACACAGCGACAAAAGAAGTTCATCTTTCTCCACACTCTCTGTGTTGCAGATTATCTCCACTGCATCACGGCCATCAATTTCTGCCATCTGAAAAAAATCAAAACATCATTAAAAATACAATACCAGTAAAATGAATGACGGCCTATTTAAACATAATTACTTCCCCTCTTCATTAGGTCCCAGCTGAACACAATCACACAACTTCCCACAGACCTCCCCTCCCCCCCACCACCACCTTCTTCCAGTCTTACCTCTTTGTGAAGGTTTTCATATAGTGAGGCCTTATAAAGGCAGGTAAGGTAGGCCTGGTGAAAGTACAGATGCTTTCCAGCCTCGTGATTTTCAATGCAGCTTTTAGCCAGGGCCATGGCTTCCTGCATCCGTTCACAGGCTTGAAGATATCGAACTCGCAGCTCCAAGAATATTGGCAATTCTGTACTCAAGTAATCGTCAACTGTCACAGAGAAAAGAGGATGTGTTAGACTCGGGGAAGATGGCATCTCTCGCTCTCCTGTGAGTAGCGGTCTGAATAGCTTTGCTAGTCTAGGTCCACATAAACAAAAAAAGCTCACGTGGTGTGTACCTTCACTGGGAGGCAAATCTGTCTCCTTTAGGATACCTTGCAGGACTGGATTTTCCCATGGACCACCCCCTTTGATAACCTGCTTCACATGCTGCAGGTAGATATTTTTGTGTCTCAGGAGTTGAGAGTGGCACCCCTGTAAACAAAAAAGGGGAATTCAAATCCTTCCTTAAGAACAAGCCTATTTGAATTCCTGTATGAATTCCTTTTAACAGCAATATATTTCACAAGACAGAGTGGTATGCTGCATTTTAAATCATGGAACATGAATGTGACAAAACAAAGAAGGTTTTTCTAACACTGGTTTAAAGATAGTTGTTGACTAAATTGGCTTACAATTGAGGACCCTTTCTAAATGGCATTCTTCAACAACAACAGGGTATTCTTAGTGTGAAGTGTGGCCGCTTATTTGTTTTTACCTGAAAAGAATCAAGGATGTCTTTTAAAGGCTCTTCAACAAATTCTTCTTTGCTGAAAAACAGCATCAGTTCGAAGAAACTCCTGCAAGAGAATGAGTGGGACATAAGTCAAACAGAACAACTTATGGTCTTCAAGAAGCTTTCTTAGAACATAATTACTTAAATGATATGTTATTAACGCTGCTGGTTAATTTAAAGAAAAGCCATTTCTGAGGTCAGGAAAAAAATCACTGACTCATATCAGTTAAACTGTGACTGTTTTATCTATGTTTAAGTGCTACTTGCAAAAAGTCAATGATGACCTTAGTATAACAACATAATACCACACATAGAAATGCTGCTCTACATGGTAGCAGAGTCTCCTTTGCTGGATTTCTCATGCAATCGCTACTCCCTGTAACAAGAGGGGAAAATGTAGCATCCCCGTTTATCAGAAAATAATGAGAAGATCCCATGGACCAAAGTACTCACAAGGCTAGACTGCTGAGAACGTACTGGATGTGCTGACAACCATCTGGGAAGGCAGCAGTGGCTTTGGTAAAACTGCCGAGTGCAGTTTTCAGCACCTTGAGCTGAGGGAGAGGAACTTGCCACTGCCCTGTGTATTCCTCAACCAGCTGTGGGAGAACATTAGATGTAGTCAAATGACATCTCAATGTCTAAGTATTATTCAAATACAGGAAAAGTAAACCACATGATTAATGCAAGAAACTGTTCAATAACCCAGTAGGTAAGTGATCTGAGAATGGATTAAAAGATGACAATGAGAATCCCTATAGATGCAACTTAGGTTCAATAATATCTAAGAACGCTATGATTGAAGCAATGTTGAGGAAAGGTTTATTGATTAACCAGCAAAATATCAATAAACACTGATAAATAACTGTTTGGGAGACCTAGTGTTTTTTTCCTATTTAAACCCACATGACAATGGAAGGAAACCCTTTACTAAAAAACATAAACAAACTCTATAGTATATTTGTGTTGTTTCGAAACTAGATAGTCAATCAAAAGTCTCAATTTCATAAAGCCAGTCATAATATGTGTACCACATCCCTAAAAGCTTATTTAACCTCACTACATCGGGTTCATTAGCTTAGCTTAACTGTGCAGACATCATGCTAGACATTTACAAATGTGAGAGAAAAAACGTTGTTGTCACATAAAGCTATCCAGTCAGGAGCTTGGTTTGAAACTCTGGAAATCTGCTTGACTATTCGTGAAGACTTTCGAACAGGTCGTGCCGACATAAGGGCATAAACAGAGCTAGTATGGAGGCTAGCGTTAGCCAGTGAAGCTAGTAGCTTTAGCAATAAACAGACAACTATTCGGTTAATTGGCACCAAAAATTAGTCCAACTTACCTCACAAAACTCAGTGCAATAGTTTTTATTGTTCAGGGAGGACTCATCGCTGCAGTGTTTAAGACACAGTGTGTCTAGAGCTAATTCAAGCCCGTCTGTTTCCAAATCACTTTCGTTGTCCGCCATACTGTCTGCTGTATCCAGCGCATAGTCACGGTTGCCAGGTTTTTTCCATAGTTTAGTCCTGTCCGCCATGAACAGACATTATCAACCTGGCAACTAGTTATCTTTTTTATCTGTAAAATACTTGCTTTCCTTAATGTACAGCAGGCATTTCAACAACAATAGTGAACTATTTGATCGATTACGCTCTGTTAAATGAAGAGAATGAATAATGATGTTGAACTCACCATTCTAGAAGAGATTATAAATTAATTAAAATACCTAGATAAAAAAAAAGAAAAACTTTGCTCTCTTAGTGACTATCTCTCTTAATCCCTTCAGCAGTTGTTCCACCAGGCTGTTCACATTTTGCCTGTTGATAAATTTAATTACAGCACTTCTGAAAACATAAGGGTTCAGATAGCCATTTTTATGAACAGTGGGGATAGATTATTATCAACATACATATATCAATTATTGTCATGACTGAAAATGTTCCCAAAAAGTAACAACGACAATAAACGACAATAAATGAAAGCAGACTCTGGCTGGATGTTTAAGGTGGCTTTTATAGAAAAAAAACACAGGAGGAGAAGACATTTCCACCTTTGCATAAATCAGGTGGACAAAAAATAGACCTGATCCAACCCAGAGCCACATATTCATACTAGTGATACACATCAGAAAGGTACTTAAAGGTACTCCAGTTATTTTTCACTGAATAAGCTGAATCCTTAGTCGTTAGTTAAATATAGCAACCATTTTTAATGGAAAAATACAAATATTTAAATGAACTTTCAAGCAGAGCATAATAGACCATGCTCAGTTCATATTTTGGTATACAGCACTAATAATTGAAAAAATCGGTTTCGGGAAGTAGGGTTGAAAACAAAATTGAATTTCATATCTACAACAGCTAAAATGGGAGCTGAAGAGAGAGAGTGGACCGCCTTTTTCTGATGATTATACATTTATTCTTTGCATGCCTATGGAAAATCATGGATGCATTTCATATGGTGAAAACTAGTGTTATTTTTTAATTATAGGGTGAATTAAACTGATTGAAAAAAAGGAGGCAAAAGTATTCTAACATGGACTCTTGGCCATTCTTATATGAACTGGTGAGCAGGTTCAATTTCTGAAAAAAGAGAAGAAAAAAAATAAAAAAGACAAACATAAAATAATAATTTAAAGGGATACAGAGAGGATACACGTTGTGAAATATATTTATTTGTTTGATTGATGAAGCTATTTGAACAATATCATATATCCAGATTTACGATTTCTTTTTTTTCTTTTTCTTTTTTTTTTCCATGGCTGCAAAACAGAGTGATACAGGTTTTCACAACGTGAAGTATGACATTTTTCTTTTTTGCCACGAGAGGGCACCATCACATCAAAATACCATCTCAAGTCACATAAACAGACCTTAGATGCCTTAGATATACGGAAATCATCCCCCACCCAATAAAAAATAAATAAATAACAGAACAAATAACTCAGAAAACATCCCATCATAATGTAGACGCATTGTCATACCGTAGCATGTGTGCAAGTATATTCCACGTCTTTATATTATCCATAAATAAACAATAAATCTTCACATTTGAATCATCCTTAGATTTCAATCAAAATACTGTGTCTCTTAAATAAATTAAAAGAGCAGGAGTTCTATTGCAAATAATTTGAGTGGGACTAATATGAGGATTTCCCCACCAATGACTCTTACAATCAATTAACCTAATTCTATCTATGGGGCAAGAGTGATGAAGTAAGGTGTTCTTGATGGTTACAAAAAGACAGGCATAATCCTAAAGACAAAGCTCAAAAGAAAATAAAGGATTGTCTTTTATCCTCTAGTGTCAAAGACTAGAGGATTCAAAAGATTGTATCTTATCTAACCAATAACCCCAGATCATAGAGATCATCACTTTCTATATTCACACATTAGAAACATTTTACGGGAGACAACCATTACTGTACTTCAAAATTTGGTAAAGAAATTAGTGGATAAATTCTAATACACCGTGCTAAATGTGACATCCCAAACTGCAGAAATGTTCATCGCTCGCCAAACTAGGACATGCGTCAGTCATTATGGTTTTACACATTTCACAGTTCATGGCAGTGTCAGCAGTGTAGTGGCCAAGGTCAGGACTGATTCTGACAGGGTAGGAGTTGTGACAAGTAGGCATGCAAGGGAGATATCACCTATATGTATTGGATTAACATGAATGATAAGCATTTGGCAAAGACGCAGTGATACAATGAGCCCGGGGGTTGCTGAGGCTGCGTAAAGTTCAGCCCAGACATTTAGCTTGCGGAGTCATTGGGGGAGTAATTCAGGGAATTTAACATTTGGAATCTTTCAATTCTTTATATAGTTAAGCAAGGCCCAAAGTCCATATTTCCCTTGTTGCATCATCAGTGTTGTAATAGCTATTGCATATTCTAGTTATTCAATATTTTTCCCCTTTAAATTTGAACAACTCTCACTTTTTTGCAACTGTAAATATCATAAACAATGAAGCAACTGGCACCATTAAGGAGACAATGAGAAAGTTCTCTCAAATGCCAAATAGCAGATCAGCCTGTTTATCTGTCAGTCAGACAGTATGAAATTCCAACAAAAATTGTTGTAACACACAGCAGGTAATAGGACAGAATTTGAGCCAAGGTTCTAATTTTGTTTGATAAACTAATGCAAATTGTTATTATTCATTCTACTTAAATTACATCTTAGATTTTATTTAAAGCTCTAATAAGCTGTTTGTTACAAATTATATTATACTGAGCTTGCCAACAATCAAGGTCATGTTAATTTAACTGACAAGAGAGTGGATGTAGTCTGAACATGACTGATGGAGCAAATAGAAGTACAGCAGAGATCAGTAATAGTTTATTGATATCTTTTCATATGATATGTGCTTAGTATTTGTTTTATAATGTAGTAATAAATAAAACCTGTCTAAAATACAACAATAAACTTACATAACTGAATCAAAATTTCGTTGTCATCAGTTCTTTTCCACATTGAGAGTGGACAACCCTATGTGGTCCAAACCACAGTCCATTTTCTTACAGTCAAATAACATGACTAATTTATAACAATATAATTTATTTCCCACATTTCTTAGACACAAACATACAAACAAGAAATGCCATTTAACATGTAATAACATGGCCATCTTAACTGAACCCTAAGATGATATTGTGAAAACTTGTAAATGTGGTGTTTTACTATAAAAGGAAAAAATTATTAACTCTATGACCATTTACAATCATACCTGACTGGTGATTCAGTGATCCTGTAATCACCGGTCTTGTTCATGTGTTTTCAAAAGGGATGCAAAGAATTGCCCCTGACAGGTCCTACAAGGGCCATGTACAGGGAGCTGACAACCATCAGAGTACCTTTAGCATAAATTAAGGCCTGCCTCTATTGTTTTTTTGTTACACCATGTTCCCACTGTCGGACTCAATTTAAAGCTGTGGAGCTGAAGGAAGACAGATAATTTGAAGGAGAAGAAGCTAAAAAAACGTGATAGTTGTGTGTTTGTCATTAGTCTCTTTTGGAATCCAGGAAAGAAGCTTACTCAACCTGCATTCCACTTACATCCTGACTCCTATTGACCAATGCTGCTTAAACAAGCTGTTCTGCAAGGACGCTTAGGGTCCATTCTCTCCCCCTTTTTATTCAATTATTAGTGTCTATAGATGCAGCTCCACAGCTTTAATTAATCTTTCATTTTAATTCACCTCCATGATCCTTTTCCATTTGCTTGTTCTGTTGAAGCATCTCTCATATACCTATGGTTGAATACCGTTCCTCATCTCACTGCGTATTGTCACAATCGGTTTCCTACCACACACAAATCCTATGTGCAATTAAGTTTAGTAACACAAAATTTTCCTGCTAGCACTTTAAGATTAACATTGTGACTTTTATTTCAATATTATTTGGTATCAGTTTATTGGGTTTTGTGCCAGATGTTTGTTTTGGTAGTGGCGCTGTGCAACACTGTAGAAGTAGCACAGTGAGACCGATTCAGATCTGATTCAGGCACTCTGAGATGACAGCCATACTATCATAATCACACGCACTTCAAGCCAGAACAACACCATCAGCATTTCAAGAGTTTAAAATGTGAAGAAAAGCTTATATTCTATCAAATTTGTTCAAATATCTTGAAAAGATTTTTTTTCCGTTTTTGAAGAAATGCTTGTCTAAATGATTAGTATGACAGTAAAAGGACAGTGACCTTATATAATGTCCTTGCAATGTAAACTAATGAGGATAGTATTTTATACATGCTCTTAATTTTAGTCAGCCATGCTGACCTGACAGAAGGGCAGTGATTTGATGAAAGGGTCAGCTGTTGATAAGCCATTTCCAGACATTTAAATGGGGTTGATCTCTTGTGCTCAAAACTCACAGCACAAAATGGTCAGCTCTGGCCTATTTTACTTCAAACCAACATGTGAGTCAACCTTCAAACACACCAATTAACACCAGAAAAATCGCAGGCTCTTCTATTAAAAGCTGAGCTTCGATTTTAATGAGGAACTTTGGTGCAAAGCTCATTGCTGAGTGTATGCCATTGAAATGTCTGATAGAATTGTCTTAGAGAATACTCTTTTTCAGGCACACTGGGCCAGTATTCCCTGACCTTAAGCCCCTATCTTTTGCCCATCTTTGTTAGGTGTTTACGTGAAATGGTGAGAGAGTTTGATCGTGTACATCTTTCAATCAGAGGTAATGACTGCACCGAATGAGTCTTTGGAAAGCTTTTTTAAAGTCTTCATTAAAGATTGTGTAGATGAGGGGATTAATCAGAGAGTTAAGGTAGCCCAACCATGTCAGAAAGTCTGCCATCTCAACTGAAGTATTGCAGGAGCTACAGGTGTTGACAATCACTTCCTTGACAAAAAACGGCAGCCAACAGATGACAAAGGCTCCGATTATCAACCCCAACGTTGACGCCGCCTTTCGCTCCCGCGAGCCTGAGATCCGAGGTCCTTGGTAAATCTGGCTTCGGTGAGACTCGCTGCGTGAGTCGTGTCTACGCGACTTGTTCTGCAAAGCCGTTCTAGCAACACGCACGCGTTCACGTGGAGTTTCGTCAGTGGAGGCTTCAGAGAAAGACTTGTCCGCTGGACTTAAAGGCTCTGGACTTCGAGGCCCGCCATCGGCTTCGCTATCTCCAGCAGGGTAGGACGAAGGAATCATGCTTCCATTGGTCATGCATGAGTGACGGCTGGCTCTGCTGGCCTCCCTGCGCATATAGAGGGTCTGAGCGGCCAGATATATTTTATAGTAGAGAATGAGTATGAGCAGCAGGGGAATGTAAAATGCGCCAAGAGTTGAGTAAAGCGTGAAGGCCATATGGTGGTGGATGATGATGCATTGCTCTTCGTGATCGGAATCTTTGTTGTAATGCCGCCACAGTAGAGGAGGAAGTGAGATGAGAATGGACAATAGCCACACTACTGCCACCATTGCACCAGCCCTGGCCCCTGTGCGTTTGCGAGAGTACTCCACGGCATCTGTAATGGCCCTATAACGGTCCACGGCAATGGCGGCGAGGTGCAGGATGGAGCATGTACAACAGGTGATATCCACACTCAACCAGATGGTGCAGACCACCTCACCCATCACCCATTTCTCCTTCTGGATGTAGATGATGCCGAAGGGCATAACCAAGACAGCTACCAGCAGGTCAGTCGATGCCAGTGAGCAAATTAGGTAGTTGGCTGGGTGGTGCAACTTGCGGGTAACGGCAATAGCTGTGATCACCAGGCAGTTGAAGAATGCAGTTAGGATGGCTACTACCGACAGTGTGAGGGTAAGGAGGATTTTACTGGGAGGGAGCTTAGTTGTGTTAAATGAGTCATAATTGCTTCGGTTTGTGACAAATGCCCCTTCAGTCCAATTGGGGAAATCCATTCTGCAAACATGGAAAGAATCAGATATGAAGTTAGACAAGGAAAAAAATCCCTTTTAGTTTAACAAAAATATTGGTGAGCGTGTATGCCTTGTTATGTTATCTGGTCATTTCTAAATAAATGTATCGAGGCAATAATTTTAAGAAGGAATATCCGACTTGGAAAAGACCCCGGGGTAGATCTGAACTCAGGTAATATAGATAACCTTTTTCTGTGAACGTCTTAGAAATCTCACTGAAAGAGCTAAAGAGTGTCTGAGAAAAGGGATTGTTTTCCTCTTAGACAAGTTTACTTTCTGATCTAATTGAAGGTTATCAAACTGCTTGACAATAACTTCTTTACCCTCCTTTATCTTAGAAAATGATTTGAATTGAAGATAATAAAAAAAAAAAGCAAAATATACAAAAAGCAGGCTTTCATAAAAATTGTACTTATAATTATTAGGTTTTTAAGTAATCTTGTCCTACCTGCCTACACCCCGTATGCACCCAGTTGGTTCAGTGTGCTGCAGACTGTCTGCTCAGATCTGTACTGCGAGTCCGACTTGCCATTGCGTCACATCTGTTACTCAGCATCTGGAACAAAGGTACAGCGAGAGGGAAGCTGTTACAAACACAGGGAGTCAAGAGAAGATGCAAAGTATACCTACTTACCTATTCCGGCTGATTAATTTACAAGCTCAAGCATAGATGCTTTACTATTCAGATATACATTGCTTATTCGGGGCCATCTTAAATACTTTTTTGCACTTTAGTTCTCATCTGTTTCTGCTTCGCTTTCAGATAAAAAAGAAAGTGCAGAATTTATCCCAAACAATACAACATTTAGATAAATGACATAATCAGATTATATTCAGATGATCGGATTATAATATTATCAGATTATAATCAGACATAAGAAGATTTAAAAAATGTATTAATTCTAATCTTATCTAATATGAGCAAACTAAATAAAACGATTCACCATTTAAAGTGAAAATCTTCCAAGTGTAGCAAATGGTTGTTCACTGACAGTGTTTTAATAAAATCACCCAGATACGACTGTCGCTGTAGCTCTCCTTTCCTCACTATTGTTCAATATCCTGAAGACATGAGAAGAAACTGTTGCTATAGAAACCAGAAAACGCAGTAATTTTCTTTAATGTGTCAGAGGCATACAAACTGCAAGCAAAGTTTCCTACTGAGAATGTTCGATTCCTGGGAGGCATCTTATGGTTTAGGTAAGTGGGTGAGTGGTATAGCAAGACCTCATAATAAGTGAATAAGTTAAGAGAATTGTCCACTATGATTGTGTCCTAATGTGATACTGAGCCTGATATTGAGGAGTTGCTATCAGGAGATGTTAAACTTTGGTGAGATCACCACAGTTGAATGACATGTGGGGGAATCTAAAAGGCAAGTGCAGAGGCATATGACGGTCCTTGTTTTACTACTTTAATCACGCCGTGGGCGCTGACCATCCCTTAGTCACACTGAGTCACTCAATTGAATTTGTGTTTAGTGCAATCATTTTGCCGTATGAGAGAAATCAACTTTTACTGACAAATAAGTAATTCTAAACAAGCACACCAAAGCTCACTGCAAAAGCACACCAAAAATCATTTTTTTTATTTTCTGCATAAACAAACCGAAGGGGATATAACTTTTCACGAAAGTTGCAAACAGCAGTTCTGCCACGCTTACATCAGAAACGTAACTTTTTCTAATAACAACAAATCAGGTGCAGCTGGCAAAACCCTAAAACGAAACATAATGCTGCAAAATAGGAAAATAGACTGAAACCCAGAATATAATTGTGAACAAATTGTAAACTAGTGAACTGTGTTGTTTCCTCATAGCTAGAATGATGGATTTTAAAGTAAATAAACTAGCCTTCCTCAGCATTATAAAACAATTTACATTCCATACCATTGAATGAGCTTGGAAGAAAACCTAACAGTATGCAGATTACTTTGTGAGGAAAGATAAATGGTAATTACCGAGGCACCGATGTGTTCTCAGCTGTATATCTGAAAACAGTTTGTGTCTGATTTTCTCTGTGTTTTTTTTGGTCTTTGCACAAATGCATATCAGACAAACAACATGGGTAATCGTCTTTAGTTTGTCTCTGCGTGGTCAAATTTGCATATGCAGAGATTTACGTATGCAACAGTGTCAGGCTGTCATTTTGTTCAACAAAGAACTCATCTCCTTCCGTCCTGAAATGTTTTAAAGCACAGCTTTTCTGCTCAAGGCCATCTGAAGATAAGCTCCACTCAGGCACCATGAATCCGGTCTGTTCTGATCAGAGTTATCCTTAAGAAACCTACTGCTTTACATAGATGCATTAAACTGTAAAGGCAGCTTCATTCACTGACACATAGACATATTGTTTAAGGATTTGACTGTCATTTTCTAGTTGATTTTGTGTGTGTGTGTTGTTACATTATTTTTTACAGCACTTTATCTGCTTTTTGTGGGTCGGATGTGATAAGATAAGCAAGCCACTTTCACTACAAAAGAAATCTTAATGCTTACTATCTTATCCAAATTTTGAGTACTTGTGGCTCTACAGTCTAAGGCACAGATTTAGAATGCAGTGAATATAAGAAGGCTGACAAAGCAGAAATGTCTCAAATTTCTCCCACAACTTTAAAAAATGGACGGTATATATTTCAGACAGACATAGTCATCTTGACCACATCTGCAGATGCCCAAATATAGATATAGAGAAATGTTATTTATATGCACAAAAAAGTTAACTTTAATACAAATTCTATTGGGGAGATAAAAAGAGAAACAACTTCCCTATTACATTCTATCATTGTTTCACTTATCATTTTACCTTTAAGAAGAACTGAGCTGATTCATCTGCCTGAAGTATAACAGAGTTTGGCCCTGGCAAGATGTTAAATTGCCAAGTGTTGTTGTGGTGGAGGGGAGCCGTGAAAACGCTGATTATGAGAGTGACAGCACAAGAATAATGCCGGATAAATGACTTATGAGTACAGAAAATCTAATTTGTGTGCCAAAGTTTGTCGGCATACCACAGTATTTACATGAAATATAATTTTAACAAATGTGTGATTAATTGACCCAAAGTAGCAACTCATTTGAATACATCATGATGAGTCATTGGCAGTTGCTGAAGTCCCTGTTCATATTCATCAACCTGTGTCCTTTTGGCTTGGCGGTAGCACTTCATGTGAACCACAGCTGGATTATCTGTGCACATGCAGATGCGCACCATGTCACTGTCAGCTCCCTCTACCTGGTTCATGGAGATAGAAGTATTAGCTGGCAAGATGCCCCCTGTGGACTGATTTCAATGGCAATGGTTCAACTTCATACAGAGCAGCCGCAGGGCATTTTGTGACTGGAGACTTCCTATTTTACTGCAATTAATGTAAAACTGGAGACTTGGTTTTTAGTGTTTTATGTAATTTTTTTAACAAATGTGATGATAGTCCTCAGTAAATGTGTGTTTTTATGCTATCAAACGCAAAATAAACTTATCAAGGACAGGAAAATATGACAGTAAAAGTCTTCTGCCAATCTGTATGACAGTGTTGTGTAGTCTTAACTGGTTACTCTACAGACTGAGAAAGGTCCATTAAAAGTAGCATTTAACCCTTTTGGTAAATCCATTCAATGTAATTTATTCTTATATCAGCTGTAAACAAAATCAAAGATTAAATACCACAAATAGGGTAACTACATTTTAGGGTAATGTAATTTTTAAATGGCTATTATATAAGGGAAAAACATTAACAGTACCAAATGGGACAGTGTGAAACAGCACGTGGCACCGGTAGTGTTATCTGAGGTTGTGAAATGGAGTGCTGGAATTTCTGTCTTTTTTTTTCTTTCGTTAGCACTGTCTGTGTGAAATCTGCCACATCAATAACCAGTAAAAGTAATTTGCAATCTGTGTCATGTGTGTAAGAAGGGTAACATGCTAAATGTGATTTGTAATTGCTATATGCTGCAGTATTCAAACACAGAAATGCCTGTAGTTGGATTATACACAACCAGATCTCAATCAAGGTAGAAGGGAGCAAATGAAAACCATTTTGAAGCTTCAGCCTTGGATAAACAGCCTCACCATCCAAAAACATTCAAATCAACAAAAATCCGAAATAGCTTAATGTGAAAGTAATTGAAATACCCTCAAATCTGGTGAGGGTGACCAAACACAACTGGTACTTTGAGGTACTTTTTAAAAAAATTTTGAGTTTTTGAATGATGCATTGCTGCAAAGATTAGGAAAAGCAGCCCACTTCAAAAAGGACTGTCCTTGTAGCAACTTTGAGGCTGCAGCATTGATTACATAACAAACATAGCACAGGGAAGAGGAAGTGTGCTTCGACTGTGTTCACTGAGGTGTGGCTCTTTATCAGCACTTAAGAATAGAAGTAGCATATAGTAGCAAAAAACGTTTAAGGACTAATGATTAGAAACAAATGTTTTCTTTCTCCTTTTGACTGATTTGATTTGATGATTATTGCTCCCTCCCCTCATTTTTCTTGCTGTCTCACCCAAGCTGAATTTAGAAGTCATACATTACAAATTTCAAATATTGTGTTATAAACAGTAACAGTGATTCCGATGGTGTATATTCAACAGGTTTTACATGTTATTGTTAATTTTTGTAGTAGTAGTACTTTTGTAGGTAAAAATCTTAGAAAAAACACAACCCTTTTTGATTAAACACTAAATTCCGTTATTAAAGACAACCAGAAAAAAGATAATAAACTATCAAAATGTTTAATTTTCCGCATTGGATCACAAAACTCATGCTATTTCATGTCTAATGTGTTTTATCCATTAACTCCATCATAACCTTTTAATATTTCTAAGCCCCTTGCCATATCAAGCATCAGATTTTCTGTTGACATTTAAGTTGTTTTCATAATGATGGAACTTCAACAATATCCACAGAAACATGGCCTTACACAAACAATATTCCGAGGATTAACAACTGATCAATAGATTTCAAAACAAAGTCTCATGACTCGCTTGTAATGTTGTTAGGACTTCTATCCAGTAAAAAAACCCCATTACTTTTAAACGTCTATTTCTTTTTTAATATACATCCCAAGGGTGTCCAACAGAATTAGAGAGACACAATGTCTTGCCCGCTGAAAGAGGTAAAAGTCATAGTTAAAGCATGCCTCTTGTGCAAAAATGCATCAACATGCCTCTATGTGCAACCCTCCCACACAGAAAGTTGATGGCTTACTGAGCAGCTGGAATAGTGTCATTGAGGTCAGGGTAGATTTTCATGGGGTGAGTGAGGAAATGTAAAAAAAGAGCACACCATAACAGAAAACAAGACTTTTTGAAATAATGTCACGCGTGAGTCAGAAGAAGAAAAAAAATAGGGTACATCAGTTGTGAGGCAGAATATACCAAATATTCAGAATTCATTCATAGCTTTCTGGTTGTTATTCTCTAAAGATCCCTCAAACTGTCAAACTACTCCTGTTTCTCATTAAAACTTAACTGAAATAAGAACCACTAGAAGAAGTAATCAATTGATGTTGTTACCAGAGCTTGTTTCTTTCTAAATTGAGGAGGTCCCCTGAAGAAAATCAATCAAAAATTTGTATTCTGTTGTCATCAGCCCAATTGAAAAACACTGAAAACCTTTTCCGAGCATTTTGCTTATGATACATACAATTTATGACAGGAATACAATTTGCCCAACTCCTTTATTGAGACTCCTTTTAAAAAGCAATAATTATATTAGATTTGACCTTTTGATTTTTAGGGGCTTGGCATTGATGTCTTGTACCTGTAGACAAAAGCATTCTAGTCAAATATCTACACAAAAGCAAATTAAAGGTCAACAAAGACAATGGGAATGTTCTTTTTGAGCCATCTTTAAAACACAACCTATTATGTGAGTCTGGAGAATGAGGTTAGATCGTTTGGGTTTACTAATAAAGGGGAATGGCTGTTATCTAAACCATTATCCTTCATAGATGACATGTAAGTGGCAATAACATTTCCACTGTGGGAGGCCTATTTTAATGGATATTCTTCTACATTTTGCATAGTATCCATAAGCCAATGTCTTATTTGGCTTTGCTTATTAACCCTAACCCTAACCCTCTATTTACAAGAGATACATCAGTGCTTGACAGGTGATAATTTGCAAAATATATAGATAATCTCATTTACCTCTCACATGTGGTCTTTTCAGCCAAAAAACTCTTCTTTTACATCTTGAAAGTATAACTGCATAACTAGGTGTCTACACCCCCCCCTGTTCCTCATAAGCCGGACCACCTGTTGAGGCCATTAATTCTAACCAATTTCTCTTTGTGAAAAAAACAAACTATACTGAAGCATCAACACATCGCAAAACATGGTCCCTTTTTAATCCTCATCTCACAAATACTGCCGCCCATGTCTCTGTACCTCTGCCCTTCTGTCTGTTCCCATCATATTTTAGAGACAGTCATCTGACCAAATAGATCACTCAATATACGGCTTTAGGCACATCCACTGTTTGTTTTTTGTTTTTTAACAATGTAAGAGGACAGAGACAAACAAAAAAATCCTATTGTTAGGGATAGTGTTTCCCCCATTGTGTTATGAATCAAGAATAACAGTCGTAAATTCATTTAAAAAATTTAGATATAGGTATTTCAGCTACAGGTTGACTTTATCAAACAAGGGCAAAACAAGAGCCTTGCCCTCATAAAGTTCACTACTTACAGAAATAAATTTTTCTCCAACCTCTCCCCAGCATTCTGCCTTACCAAAAGTTTGGACACACCTTTTCATTTAGAGAGTTTTCTTTATCTTTATTACTATGAAAATTGAGGATTCACACTGAAGGCATCAAAACTATGGATTAACACATGTGTAATCATGTACTTAACAAAAAAGTGTGAAAAAACTGAAAATATGTCTTACAGTCTAGGTTCTTCAAAGTAGCCACCTTTTGCTTTAATTACTGTTTCCCACACTCACACTCATTCTCTTGATGAGCTTCAAGTGGTATCTTCCAATGCAGTGTCAACAACACACAAAGTGCTGGAACCAACAAGAAAAAAAGTACTTCTTGTCTTATATTCCTCCGTGTACTTATTGTTATGGATTGTATTGCCTCTATGTGCTGCTAGAGAGACTTGAGCTTTTTCACTCGATCCATTAGGAGACCGTTTCATAAAAAATGTGAGGGGTCAGGATGATCTCTCAGTGTCCCAGACAGGGTCTCCTCCACAGTATCAGATATGGGAATAAGATATGTGGCCTTTAAAAAAAATTGACACCTTAGTGGCTAAGGGTCATTTAAAGTTAGTACTTCCCCATTCCAAATCCATTTATTGTGTACTTCCCTGTATTAATCTCTGCTCCTGATACAAGCTAATAACTTAGGTGCTCCCTTCATCTTGCTCCTTCACTGAAACTGTGTGCACTTGTCTCATCAGTACACACATACATACAATAAAGAACACAAAGCCTGTGTTTGGGCCACTTTGAAGATTATATTTGGTCTCAGCGATCTTCAAACGTCTTTGAATATCCATGATAAAAGAAAACAATCATCTCGAATGTGGATCCTCTTGGCAGCGCCCCTTAATTAGAACTACTCAACAATCAATTAAAGACTGATTCCTAAAGGACTAAGACATTTCACAGCAGCCACAGAACTTGTTGACTGGTTGACTCTTCAACAGGAGGAGGACAGCAGCCTGGGTGAGTATGAAGCTCAAAGATTTCCAAGTGAAACATCAGATTTGCAGTTATGAAGATCATCTCCACAGATTATTGATCAGGAGTCAGGAGTTCAAAGTTATGTTATGAGGTTTAGATGCTCAAAAATAGATTAACTGGCTTGTTAAGCTGCCTGGTCACTCTTCAATCCTCACTGACATAATCAAAAGAAAATATATTATGGTCTAGTGAGCAGTCAAATATTCAAACTCTCCACAAACCTGTTGGGGTCAGTGAACAAATTTTACTGTCATATTCCGATTTATCAGTAAAGATGCTTTTATGCTTTCTCACATGATGCACTCAGGGTGAATTAGTGGGCTGGAGAGCTTTTGTGAATGCTTACCATGTATTTCTGCTGTTACTGTTGCACACTAATTATGTCATGCTTTCCATTTACTGTTACTAAAGGATATTTTATGCTCCTCATACTTTGTGTTCTTTGTTTTAAATGCTCGTCTTTTCTTTTTCCTGTCATTCCATATTGATTTTTCTGAATACTCCATTCCTCTAAGGGGCTCTTAACCTTGTTAAGGAATATATAAGCTGCAGTTATTATGAATACCGTGAAAAACACAGGGAATGCAGATCTGAGAACTGTGACAGTCAATTCATCATCAAATCCCTAAAAATGTGGTTGTTTTTTTGCAACTTGCTAACATCAGAGACGTCTGGTAAAGATGAAGCAGTTATGATTTTAAAAACAAGGCAAGTACAGTAGCAAGAACATTCACCAGTAAGATTAAATTAAATTCTATCATAATTGTATACGTATGAAGACAAAGCAAATGGGATCATTTTACAACAGTGCAGCCAACAGAATTGAGCATTCATTAACTTTATGTAACCTTGTTTATAACTTATAGATTATGTTTGCAATTATGTCTAGACTTATCTCCAAAAGGCTGGAGTTTCCCATTGAGCGTAAACAAATGAAGCTTTATTTAGACTTAATGTAGTCTGTAAATTTAATGGGGGAAAAGAGAGAAATACCAGTTTTCGCGCTGCACTGATTGCTTTGTTGCTGCCAAGCCCAAGACCATCAGCAGTCATGACATGCCCTTGGCTTGACACTACTTCTCATCATTGGCGTCCATTATTTTTGTTTCTATCATAACTCCCCCATTCTAATTAAGTATCGAGAGTAAATGCATCTCCGTGGTGGAGGAGAGCATTCGTCATGTTTAAATAACTGAACGAGAAGGTCCTCAAGATCCTGAATGAGGACATGGCTCAAGTACCCTTGGACATAAACACTTGGATGAAATGACAGTTTCAAGGGGAGAAAGATGTATTCTCACTGTATTGGAAGTTTCTGTTGAAAACAGGGCAGTCATATGCAAGTTCAGCTTATAAGTAGAACAGGATGCGTTCATTCTGGTTTTCTGCCCTCACATTTTTCCCCCTACCAATAACCATGGTATACAATGGCTAAAACTTTTCCATTTTCAGCGGCAATTCGCACACTGTTACAGTACGTGAACACACATTTTAACTGCTGATAGAGGATATTTCAATAAAACCATCTCTATATCTTTATTAAAAGAGCACATTCACACTGTCAGATGTGCACATGACCTCCACAATTACTTGAAAAAGATTTCAAATCCCTGAGACCTGTCATTCCCCCGGCTGTCTTTCTCCCACCCAACGAATCCTGCACAAACGTTGCCACGCACTCACTTCCTGCACATGCAAAGCTTTGTCCTTTTCAGCCACACACATTCTTCTCCTTATCACACTTCATATGACATTATGGGTTTGGATCTTGCATGGGTTTGTTCAAGAAAACAAGTGAACCTGCATAGTCAAATAATCATTTGACCAAATTGCACCAAAACATAGCGTCCAGTGAATTCCATCAGATATTTGGAGAGCCTGTTGTTCAATAAAATTTGAAAAAATCTTTAGCTGGACAACAAAACACATGCAGCAACTTGAGATTTTGGTCGATGGACCTCTCAGAAACTGAAAGATACCTTTATTGTAACCCCCCCTGTTGAGGACTGTCATTCAAGGCACACTGTAACAGCAGTATATTAATTTCTTTTCTGTTTTGCATACAAAAAATCTCCCCATAACCATAATGCACTGAAGTATATATCTCACATGTGAAACGCCTCATGGGTATGATTCAAATTTATCGCTGTGATCATTTACTCGCTACTTTGTAAAATTGCATGCAAAAAATAAATAAATAGTTAAGCTTGGGAAAAAGGGAAAGTGAGCAAAGAGTTCGCTTGAAAAAAAACCTTCTATAAACCAACCAACGTGACAACAGCATTTTAGATAATATCAATTGAACCAAACATACATCCTTCACATAAATGAGTCTGTCCCGAAAGTCCTTAATAGATTCGCTCCATTGACTCACAAACCTGCCTGTCGCTCAATAAATCCACAACTTGCTGGAAGATAAAAACTTACCCGGCTTCCGCTGCAGTGATTAATTGACTGTAGAAGTGAGGCGGCAGGAGATGGGTTTTTACAGTCCCAGCGTGTTTCCCTCACAGCTCCCTGGCGCTCACGCCGACACCCGTTTAGTGTGGCGATGGAGAGGAGCGCGCCCGCGGGAGCGCGCCGGCGGGAGCGCGCCTTTTGGCCACAGCGCAGGGAGAGGTGCGTCAGTAGGAGGAGGCGTGAAAACAAGTTAAGTAATAGCAGCTAAGGCTGAGGGGAGACGATCCTTTTCCTTTGCATTTTGTGGGGACACTTTATGTAGGACTCTGCCAAATGGAACTGAACGATCTCATGACCTTATTTAACCCTCTCCATGCATTATTCATGAAGCCTAATTTGGGTCTTGTGCAACTAGGCTAACAGGTGCACGCGGAAAATTTAATCCACATGTTCTTGCATTGATGTATGTTCATATCACTCACATCGTTTAATAAAAACTGGGGATGTGGCTGTGCTCAAAATGAAGCAGAAGCTTTCAGGTTCCTGCTAAACGCTGTCTGCTCATTGAAGCAAAGCAGAAAATATAAAATTGTTAACCCAGGTGAGCCAGTAGATGACCACAGGTCCTGCGGAATTTTAAAAGCTTGAGGGAAAAATATGAGGTAAGTCAGGCACTTAAACTAAAGTCATACATATAAAGTCAGTTACTTTAAAAAAATAGACTTTGACATTCAATATGGATAGAGCTCATATTGTCTGAATTGCTAAATAAATAACGTTATAAAGCTTAGTATTTTTTAAGATTTTTTTAAGGAAAAACAAACTACTGTAATTGTCACATATTCCCCATTCACTGCCATTTGTTACATCCCTCTTCTTCTTCATTATTTTGTTTGGACAGAGCAAACATATGTGATGGAGGTGTCACTGGCATTTCTTCATGAGTCCCTGAATCCATAAGAAACCAAACATCGTATATGTTGAGCTGCATTTCCAAATGTCAGGGTTTTTGCTAAGTCTTGTTTTTTCTTCTTCTTTTCCTTCACTAAATCCTTGTTATTGAGACCGAGTGCCATCATCAGTTTCTCCAATTGATCAATTTCTTTATTATCTTCTGACTCAATTCATCCTTTTAGGGAGGATTACACAGATTTTGGCTATCTGGCAGGGTAAATGTTGGCTTTGCTGTCTTTATTAACTCCATACAGATAATGTGAATTAAATTATAAACAGGTTAGATCTAAATATAAACGATATACCTTGGAAATTCTTAATAATTTAATGTATCACATTTGGTTTCTTTAGATATCACATGATATATGATAGATATCACAATGTTAATCTTCTGCTGCTCAGAAAGGGGGTAAGGCTCTCACAACAGCATTTTGTGACAGCACAATGACACTCATTCACTTTGCTTACAGCAACTGTAAAGGGGAGTAGCTCAGCTGTCAGCAGCCTTAGGACTAATGATAGTCATGCCAGCAATATTGTGCTGAGCATGGTACTGATGTTATTACAGCTCAGGATGTTTCAAACTGATTATGTATAACCTGCTTCGATAGAACCAAATAGAAGAGAATAGACTGCTTTCATTTAAAGGCTGCATGAAGATAAGGGCATTTAGAACTCTGAGTACACTGAGTGGATGCCATGTTGTCCTACAGGTGAGGTTTTCACTTTGCAGTCAATTCAATTAGTGCTTTTACTTTGTATACTTCTTCTTTGTCCCTGCTATGGCTCTGCTTTATCTGTAGAATATACAGACACATTTTGTATGTATTTGCTATCTGTCTGCACATTGTTGCTGAACCTGCCATCGATAAAGGAACTCATGGGTGTACAATTCTGATGGCTTCTGAACTGAGTGACACAACGGTTTATTTCTACAGAGGATGTTTGCTTTCTGGCTCAGAGGCTCATAGAGTAAACAAAACTCAACTGTTTCAGCAGAATTCTGGTGACTTCTTATTTCCAGAAGCCCCACATCACAAATGAGTCTAAGTGGGAATGGGGATTAATGTTATTTTATCATTTGCATCACCATCTTTTGCATCTCACAGTTTAGAGATTAAGGTGAATATGACTGCTGAGTGGACTATATCAAGACTTCCCTGGAAGTACTGGATGCCAAATACACGTATGGATAACCCTTCTTTCACGCGAGTTAGAGTATGAGCCATGTAGAGCCATGTTTTTTCTCATGATGAAAAAAGCCCGGTGCTGGGCGACCAGAAGTAAAGAGCCAGTTTATGTAGTGTTGGTCTCATTAGTAACATGGATGACGATCACTATTAGGCATCAAGAAAACACTGTTTGAACATGTGATAACTTGTGAATTGAAGGGGTTGACATTTTCTGTGACATTTTTTTCTCAACTCACCTCCCTCTGGGAACCGCAGCTGTCTGCTGTTAATGTAACAGGGCGTTATGTAAATGTGGAGTGATTATGTTTCCTACATCAAGTCACTGATTGATGTAAAAATTCTCAAGATTGACTGCTAGATTTGAATTGGTTGTAGATCATGCTTCGGAGACAAATCATAGACTGTTATGACTGCTGTGGATTGAAGACACAAGATTTTTCTTTCTTTAATTTCACGGACTGGACGCCGGACTGTTGAACAGTTTTTTGGAGAGATAAGTCTTGGTGTTTTGCTGTACAACATTCCAAACAAAGTTATGTTCCATGAAAATAGTCCTGAAGTTGAGAGTGTACACTCAAAATACCTTTTATCTCTTATGAAATGCTGACATTTCACCCCCAGCATCAGAGACGATTATTTACCTGCAGTCGCTCTGAGGTTTGTATTTTCATCGGCTGTCGGAATCTATGTCTATGTAGGCAGGGAAGAGTACACTTATTCATGAGTAACACTTAGAAGTATTGACACTGCCCCATGTGGGAAAAAGTTAATCAATTTTTTCAAAGCACTACATAAATTGACTCCAAGGGATCGCTGTCATGTTTTTACGATGTATTCATGAGAAGAAGATTTTATTATAGTGTTAAACTTGAAAGAAAAAGAAAAATCATCCATAAAAAGAGATATCCATTTATTAGATTTGTCATAGCTTTTGTCTTTTTGTCTTTTGTCTTTAACCCCCTATGTGTGTTTTCTCTTAATTCATTCTTCCAATCTTCAACTATATGTAAACTATATGTAAAATTAATTCATTCCCTTAAGGGATTTACAATTTAAAGGGTAATATCATTGCAGTTAAAATAACTGAAGTCTACTATTGACAAAGAGTAAAGCCAATAAGATCAACTAAAACAGATGAATCACTAACCAAAATGCAGTTGGTTTTCATGATACAGTAACTTTTTAAAACCTCAAATTCACTAAATGTGTTGGATTTAATGTGAGGATTCAGTCTTGTATTTTGGGAGCTGGAATCTCATTACCAGGCTGTCAGTTGCAATCTGACTGCAGGTTAAAGCTGTAACACTGTAAAATGAAGCTTCATTTGAAGGGAACAAGTAGTAAAATATGTTTTTATTTCATAAGATATAAGAGTAACGTATAATATTAAAACATTTTTTCGGGCGGATTGTGCAGAGAAGCAGTGGAAAAAAGTGTTTTCTGCTTTCACGAAGTGAAAAGCAGGATTTTGAGCATGTGGTCAACATAGCCAGTTTTAGTAGCCTGGAGCGTTTAGTCTTTGTTACTCACTTTCTGGCACTCAGAGCTCTGTAAAGTGGGAGACGTCTTCTGTGGTGGAGAGATGTTTTGACAACATCCTACTCTTCGTGGATGCATACGTTTCAGCTCCCATTACCCCTCATGACTGAGCTGGCCTTCTGAATCAATGTCTCAAGTCGGTTGTTATCATCCACCCTCGGGCCTTACTTACCAACTGATCTGATCATAGAAAATAGCGATGCACACAGACACAGAAAAGAACAACGGAAATTTGTCATTCTCTGCTCCAGTTTAGTGTCTTTGCTAGGTTTTTATCAAAGCTGTCTCCCCCCTGTATCATATGAGGAGCACAGGCTGAGACAGACATTATTCAGATGTAAAGTGGTTGCAGCAGAAATGTTAAATGTTTCTGGATGGCAGTTAATCTGCATAAGTGCATGTTAACAGTGCAAACTGAGTTTTTCCTCTGTGTAAGAGTCGTTGAAGCCTCACTGCTGCTCTGCAACAGCTTCTGTTTTATCTGCTCTACATGCTGAAGGCCTTCTTTTTCGATGTGTCGACACGTAGGTTTTTCTTTTAGAAAACAACAATTATTAGACAATTTCGAACCCCTGAACAAGTTATTCAACATTTCGGGCTACATACATTATATTCTAATCTTTAGGAGTGTTGAAGATTAAACTGAATGCTATCATGCAATCATGAAATATGTTTATTATTGTTCAATTTAATATTGAAGCCTGTTTTTGGCATAAAACAGAGTGGATCGGGTTTAAAGAACCAAGACTTCCAACGTAGAATGAAAATGAAAAAAATACAGCATTGCTTCTCCACTCCTATAACTGCTTTCCATGTTACACTCTTTCATGTAGTTTCGCACGTTGCATAGTATGGTTGGGAAATTTGCCAAATGGCCTGTCTGGATAGATTCAAATGAGGATGGGTTATATCAGTGAGATGATGTTGGCCACACAGTAAGTATATTTCAGATATACATATATATATATATATATATATATATATATATATAAATGCAGACAGATGAAACAAGATGTGCACAAGCAAAATACATGGATAAACAAAATAAGAAAAGCTTTTTAAGCTATTTTAAACTGCAGATGCAGAGTCAGGAAATCTTCCCTTATTTAAAAATGAATAAATGTTCTGCCCAGTGTGGACAAAAAAAATCTAGGAATATTTTTTTCTTTTCCTTTTAAATGCCGAGATGAGAAAACCACCAATTGAACAGGACAGGCATAGCCTCAAATGCTGAAGCAAAGGATGTGTTCTTGTTCCTCTGGAGAAAAACTGAATAGGCTCAGCTTGTGTACGTGTCTTTAATCTATGCTGACTGCGCCGATTTGTCTGTCTGAATTAAATAAAAGGAAACGAAAGTATATGTGCAGTGAAATTTTAAATGGTGAAATTGTCAATTTTAGCAAACCACTAAGTCATCACAACATCCTTCTGATCGATGTCAGTTTGAAGTCTGTCAGAAAAGCAGAGAAAAGTGACGGGGATGTTTTGTAGGTATTTTATTGGGTTTTG